GGACAGTTCTCACTGTCGGGTAATGCCATTTAATACGATTAAGCTGACGAATGTCGCTTTCCTTCGTCTGACGAGTTGATGCCATCCACCAGATGGTCGAATCATAAATTGCTGAAGACCTCATCGAGTTCGTCATCATTCGCACAGACAGAGTCCTCAGGGCAGTGATCGCTGCGCATCAGTTTCTTCCTGGAGAACCTACCCTGCAATCCGATGGCAAGAGATTCTTCTTGCAACCGCTGCTTCTTCTGTAGCAACGTCACCATGTCTTGCGCGTAGGCGATACAGTCTGCGCATAGAAGAACAGCTTTACCTGCAGTTCATCGATGTCGATGCCGTTGCACCAGTTTAGCCGGTTAAGCAGTGATTCCAAAGGCAATGCGAAAAAGGGCACTGGTCACATGCTATCTCTTAGGCGAACTCCTTGATGGACGCTGATACGACATGATTCGCTGAATGGCTTAATGTCAGTCGCACAACCGGTATCCAATTCCTCGATGAGGCTGACCAAACATGGTTTTTGCCATGTTCATGCAACCCGTTCAGCGCAGCAGTCAATTCTACAGAATGGAACGCCGTCTCGTAGTTAATGAGAGTGAAACAGAGTAGCACTTGATACAGGCTGACACATATTCGCTGGACCAGATAGAAAATAGACAGAAAATTCTGTCCGAAAACCGGCCTGTTCTCGGCCTTCCCAACACGACTGAAATTGAGGCAAGTGAAGACTGTAGATTTGCGACTGCAGTGTAATTTGACGACTGTTGTTGAGATGTTTGGAGTCGACCTTCTTCATGAGGAAAATCGTTTTTGATGTTTTCTACACTTTAGACGTCTTGTTCTGCCGTATGCATTCACAAAGCGGTGGTTTTTAGACTCTGCTGATCCGATTTTATTTCGTGCCATCGATCGTAACTGTGGAACGTGTAAACCTGTAGTTTGACCCTGTATGGATTGTTCCGTCTATGATCGACACGCCTGACATTATTCGTGGTCTATCCATCAGAACATAAT